CTTCATTGACTTTGCTTGTTAGAAACCAGTTGGGAAGCTTTCAAATGGCATTCACATCTTCCTGCAGTAGCGTAAAAATATATTGGTTGCCAAGAATCTGAATTTTGACCACATGACTATTGGGATGCTGCAACAGTGATAACTGTGAGGACCAGGTGTAAGTCCCTTTTTTTCAGTGTCGTTGTAACTTCCAAGTAGCACCAAATGAATGATTGTAAGTTAGGACTACCTGTATTATCAAGCTGCTTGACAACTTTGATTAAAATAAATATGGAATGAATATTAACAGTAATCCAAGTCCTGTTTCAGTGGAGCAGAAACCACAAACACCTACCCATAAACAACCTTAAGATTTAATATGAGACAGAAGGGACATCCCAAAATACAGATTTACATAGGTTATTCAGTCTTTGTTTCTAAAACATAGCTGTGCTTGTGAGACCATCCAAAACATATTTTTGTTTATTTTCAGATTGTCCTTGTAGGCAGATAGATCCAAGACATGTTTTCCTCTATTATCAGATTGTCCTTGCAGGCAGATAGATCTTTGCAGACCTGCCCTGAAAGCTTTTAGAAGGGTTCGTTTGACCCATTCTGCCCTATGTATATGAGGTTTGATATGGCTGATCTCCTGATAATTTCTCCTTGTTCTCTGCCTAGAGTCAGATGGTAGGACACAATCTAAATCTCTGCCTGAACCTTTCCAGTAAAGACTAGTTGCTGACTAATTAGACTTTGCACAATCCTGTCATGACCACTGCTACCTAATTCACACAGGAAAATATTCTCTGTGTTGTCACTGGGATCCAGTCAAGTTACTCAGCTGCCATGGTATCTATTTCCTCTTGGCATGTTTCCTGAAAACAATGATTTCAGTACCCAGAAGTGCTTGAGAACTTATGCTGTCTGGCAGGAAAATCTTGGGGATAATCTCTGGCTTCCTCCTTAGAAGAGTGCTTTGTGCTTTCAAGATGAAACAGGTGGTAGAGAGCCAGCTTGCTTTGAGATGGGAATGAAAGAATCCCATAGATTGTCACTTCAATATCTCCAATCTAAAAGATCAGAAAAGCAATTAAACTATTAGTATCTCTAATCTAAAAGATCAGAAGAGCATAGACGCTATTAAAAAAGACTGTCCAATCCTTTACATTAGAGTTTTCCAAGAAAAGGCAAAATTGCTAAGTGAGCTTTAATTATGATGGCTTTATGCACTAAAGAAAATGTACTGGCTGTGTTGTTCTCCTAGATTCCTTATGATTCCACTGGATTGTTAACTAGAGCATGTTCTATCAACATTGTACTTAGGATTTTTTTCCCCAAGTGCAGATGAGCACAGTGTTGTGTATTCAATTTCATGACAGGCAGGTGAGTTCTCCTGGGGTGCAGCTAGAACAAGCACTAAGTGTGTATTACAAGAATGTAACCAGAGTGTGCAGCTACCTGGCAAATCACACTAATAGGTTGTTCTTGGCATGCAAACATGGTAGCAGATGTGAAACGGGGGGGGGAGTGGCTGGGATTTACAGCAAAATTATAGGTACCCTTTGCAGTAAAATGTTTAGAAATTCTTACATCCTTCAAGAGGGCAGCTTAATTGCTAATTTCAGCATCTCTCAAAAATTTCAAATTTCAGATCAAAGAAGGTGCGTTATAATGCTGCAGCAAGTAAACTGGTCTGAGAAGAGGCTTGGTTTCAAATCTGCTTAATGCTACATAGTGCAATCTTTAGGCAGACCAGGATCAGGAAGAGCAGCTTATCACATAAAGTTATATTCCACATATCACAACATTGTGTTGTATGCTTGTGTTCCTAGACAGTCTGCTGACACTGCAGGGAAAATTACAGGTGAGGCATGCAAGCAGTTCTTCTTTTCTTGCTTACCTCTTCTAACTGATAGAGTATGCTATGGATGCTTCCAGACAGAAGGCTCTTTAGTGCTACCAATCAAAAGAGTTCCTGCAGTGATTTTGTTTTTCCCTCCTTATTGTTTTTTATTAGAAAAAAGATGCAAGAAAACCCAATGAGAAAATGGCCATGTGTATGTGTGTGTTACAAAAGAGACATAATAATATTCTGGACTCCCTTGTCATATTTTATGAATGAAGCAGAACAATTGGATAAGAAAAGCTTTATCTGGAAGTATCCAGGCTCTGGACTTTAAAGTTCCATCATCAATACTTCTGTGATTACAAAGGATCAGCTACACTAAAGATACTAGGAAGTGTGTATGTGTAGGAGGGGAGGGAAATAAGGAAATAAGAATGAGATGGTATTGCTGTAGCAGCAATCGGATTTTTCTGTTTTCATTTGGCACATTATTCTCTTGAGAAAAGGTATCAAGGATGAGAGGGAGGGCATTAAGCAAGAGGGGTCAATATAGCTATCCTGTGTATTGAGTCCAGTATTGGGGAAACATAGTGAGTGCACATCACTGTTGATTAGAAACAGGTTAGCTAGACCAGTGGTTCTCAACCTGTGGGTCGGGACCCCATCTGGGGTCGATCGACCATTTCACGGGGGTCGCCAAGCAAGGCTGTCTGCCATTTTTTTTGTCCACCATTTTTTCCCCTTTTCCGGCGGGTGCCTTACCTCCCTTGGGCTGGGCCAGCTGGTGGTCGGCCTGCTCCGTCTCTGCCGCTTGCCAGCTACGCCTCGGCCGGCGCAGGGGGCGGAACCACGCATGCGTGGCGCTCCTGGGCAGGGAAAGTCCTCGACTTACAACCGGTTGGGTAGTCCTCGACTTACGACCGGTTTAGTCCTCGACTTACGACTGGTTGGGGTCGCGGCATTAAAAAGGTTGAGAACCACTGAGCTAGACTGTCCATAGGAAGCCAGATTATTGCAACTGGCAAGGAAACAGGATGAAAGTAAAGGAGAAGTTGTAACCCCTTTGAGAATGGTAAGAAGAGAATGAGAGGTGCTTTTCACAGCAGTTTCAGTGCCCAACCCTGGATAATTAAATCCTACAATTAATGTTCCTGATATGTGCTTATCTCTAAAGTATGTGATACCATTGAAATAAGGCAGCTGCCTCGGACAATAACACCCTTGATTTGGTACAAGCTTGTTGGATGGTTATGAAGTCAACTCCCCTATTAACTAGTATCACAGAAATTGAAGAAAGAGAGACAGGGGTTTACACAAGAAAAAGGTATTTATCTGAATTCCATCTTAGCATCTTTCATTCTGTTCACAAAACTGTCTTTCAATTTCCTGACCTAAGTAGGGACATGTTCACACTCTCCAACAACAGTAGTTTATTGCAGCAATAACTTCACTTCTATTTTGTCTGCTTTGCAAGTTCAGGAGAAATTAAGTACACAAATGTGTTGTTTAATCACCGAAGTTATTGCTGAAATAAATTTAGCTGTTACTCTGGATTCAAAGGTCTTCTTCCTTGCATTTATGAATGGAGAACACATTCACACATTGCACAAATTGCAGACTATTAAAGAAATAATGTAAAGTATTTTGATTGTTTACTGCTTTCCTTTCTATTTCTTCTTCTTCTTCTTCTTCTTCTTCTTCTTCTTCTTCTTCTTCTTCTTCTTCTTCTTCTTCTTCTTCTTCTTCTTCTTCTTCTTCTTCTTCTTCTTCTTCTTCTTCTTCTTCTTCTTCTTCTTCTTCTTCTTCTTCTTCTAGAGTGTCTCTCTCTCCCCATCATAAAATATGATAAAACATAAATTTGGCTAAGATGTGTGCAGCAGTATACACAAGGAAATGGAATGTTCCATTCCAATTTGTTTTTAAATTGCAAAAATCAAATGCTTTTTTAAAAAGCTAATCATTTTAAACAAATGCATAAGTAAATTTATATACTGTATTTAACATCAATTTCCAAATATGTATTTGGAAACAATATATATTGTTATATATTTGGAGACAATATACTGTTTGCCTAACCAAACAAATTCCAAATATATAACAACAATTTCCATATATATATAAGTAAATTTATATACTGTGTTTAACATCAATTTCCAAATATGTATTTGGAAACAATATATATTGTTATATATTTGGACACTATATATTGTTTGCCAAACCAAACAGGTTCCAAATATACTGTATATTAAAGAACAATTGTCTCTGCATCACTTTTCCTGGATGGAAATTTTGTAATTTCCTATAAAATCAGCCACATATGAGAGAATCAGGTGATTAAAAGGGACAGACAAGTGTGATGTGTTCCATAGTAAGAAGAGAAAGAGATAATTTAGGCATACTTTTCATATCCCAAATGATATTAGTCACTGAACTGCTTGCACCCTAATGTAATGGCTCCAGGAATGAAACGAAAAAGTGAAGCAGGGACATGGTGAGTCAGTTGAAACTTGATCTCTAAAGTTCTTTCTTTGAAAGGTATTTGTCCAACTGAGAAGAGATGGAGCTACCTTCCAAGAAAGATGTGCTTAGGATGGTGGCTTTAGAAGAGAACACAGAGAATATCAAGCCCATGCCATTGTTAGAAACACCCATAAAAAGAATACAAAAGTAAACAGTATCAAGGAAAGCAAAGACTAAAGAGGGTTTTCAAACCAGACTTTCTTGAAACCCCTGCAAGAATCATATCTAACCCTTCTTCTCCATCTGTTTAAGGGCTTACTAGTGAAAATTGCCAGAAACAGAGCAAAGGACTTTATGCCATTCCTGTCATGCTGCTTTCAGTCACTTTCCTTTTTCCCATTCTACAGTTCCTTCATAGTTTCTTGCATGTTCTCAGTAATCAGCAAGAAAGGGAAAAAGATGACCTGTTCAGTGTTTGAGTACGATATTTGCAGCGGCAGTGCCTTGTGGCCTCTTCTTAGGTAAACTATTCCAGAGACTGGTGTGCCATGACTATTTCTAAAGTTCACAGAGCCTGCAATCACCTGAATCTAATAGGCAGATTGTTGGCTGTCTCGTGGAATTTAATGGCTGACATGAAAATAAGGCCTTTGATTGTTGCAGATTCTTTTCCTCTCCAGGGTTACAGAAATAGCCCTACTCACTCCTAAGGCTAGCTGCAGAGTTTTCCAGTCTCATATTCCACTGGGTTTGGCAGCTTGGCACTGAAGGCCTGCAGGGTAGACTGGATCCGACTCACTTCATTGTTGGCCAGCTTGAGTCTATGCCGAAGCAAGCAAGAGAAAAGATCGATGCGGGTTTTCCCAGGTGGAGAGAGACAGTTCACTCGGTCCCTGATCTCAATCAGTTGTAATATAGCAGAGTCCTGTGAGCCTTGTGTATAGGGGTAATCTAGCTGAAGGACAAGGTCCCGAATTGCATCAGACTCAAATGGCAGGCTGTAGCCAAAGACCTGTAAACTATTGATTCTCATATACCCTAAGTTCTTAGAAGGATCAGTTTCCAAAGGCTCATAAAAGATGGTTTCATTAGAGCTGTCATTAAGAGATTTGATGCGGCTCCGCAAATAGACATGGACTGTTTCAAAAAAGGTCTTCCACTTGCTGCCTAAAGTGAGAGTCCAGTTTTGGCATTGGCCAGAGGCATCTACATTAGTCCTTTCCCAGTCAGGGAAGCCAGTCTCATTGGTAGGCATAAACCAGCTCTCGGAATGGCTACCACCAAAGGGGTTGACGTAGATGGCCATGACTGGTTCCAAGGTGCTATTCTTGGTGAGGCAGATCTGAAGGGAGAGGGCCAGCATGAGGTGGACCAAATTTGGCTTGTACTTGTTGCTTTTCAGTGTCACCAACATCCTCTTCCTCCAGGAAGGATCAAACCAAGTCCCCAGGCGCATATCATTGCTAATGAAGATTGACTGTACTTCAATGCGGCTGTCCCACTTTTGCAGAAGATATTTGAGCTCCAAGTCCTGCAAGTCTGTTTCTAGCCCTAGATAATGCTCAAGAGATTCTGCCACCTCTGGGCGGCATAACCCCAACGTGAGGCTATAGCCAGGGTTGCAGGATCCACACTGAGTGATATTATCTTCTGCACAGGCAGCACATTCTGGCCCTTCTCCTACAACACAGGGGATGGTGACCTGACAAGAGGGCTGATCATTAGGGCAGATGCAGCTGCGGCTTTCTTCAACAAATGTCCCTAGCACAGAGGCCTCACTGCAGTAAAGGAGGGACTGAACGCGGCTCCACCAGTAGGTCATAGGCCTAGAGGAAGAAGGGAAACAGAGAGAAATGTGAGCATTTGATCTAGCCAGATTTTATGTTTCATCAACTCATTCCCCAGAGCATAAGGAAATGGATTTTTCCCCCTAAAGAGAAATCTTACATTGTAATATCCTTCATGGAATTGTAATTATTAATTCAAGTTGAAATAAAAACAAATGAGCAATATCTAAAATCTGTCTAAATGCTCAATGTTTTTAATGTTTTTAACATTCTAATCATTTAACATTGTTATTTTATGACACCCAGAGTCACTTGATAGTGAGATAGGTGGCATATAGATTTAATAAAGAAATGAAAAAAATCCAGACCAGAAGTTTCAGTCCATAAGCTAAATAGAAATATTTTCCTTTGCAGGGGCTGGGCAAATGCAATCCTACAGACTTGAGGTGAGAATTCAAAGCCAGAGGAACTGGGAGCCTTCAGACAATTTTGGATGCAGTAAAAGGTTCAGACCACTCCTCAAGAGGGAAGACTAAGAGTCCCAGAAAACTTTTCCCCCCTTCCTCCCCCCCGTGCTCTGGCAATTGAGGCTACATGGGAGAAAGGGAAGAGGAGGGTTGTATGGTCACTTTTATGCAACTACAGAAGGGTCCATTTTCACTTCCTCAGTTGCCTGAAATATACCTTCCCTGCTCCTGTTCAACCATCATATTCGGGGAGGGGGATGTATTTTCCCTGCCCATTCAGACTATAGCTGAGCCTGTAGAGCAGACTGTACGGCACTTCTACCTCCTCCATTCCTCAATCTGTCACCTGAAAGTTTTTCTCTCTAAGGCAAAACATATCTGGGGTGCAAAAATGTAGATGACCAATAAATGGCAACAAAGGGTTATAATTTTTTTAATTGTTTTGTTGCCATCCAACAATTGCAGCACCCCAGATATAATATGCTTACTCTCTCTGTCTCTCATCTCATTCCTTTGCAAGATAGTGGAAGAGAAGAGAAGAAGAGAGCATCCAGCAGCAATCTCTGAGATCACTACTACCACTCTGCTGTTGCTAAGGTGACAAGAACCTATAGACCAGCAATGGCAGCAGCAGGCCTTTCTTCCTTTGTTCTGTTTCTGCATCATTCTCCTGCTATGGCTCTAGACTTGGGGTCCCACATCTGACCTGCAAAAATCTGGAGGACCACTAGAGGTGGGAGCACAGGGATTCAGAAAACTACAATGTTTTTGCTGCCATCTAGTGGCAGATCAGTTTTGTAGTCCAGATATGATAGCTCTACCCATAATGCCCATGTTTGTTGAAGGTGTAGTAGGATAAGGAATGGGAGGTAAAGGAGTGCCTAATAGACACCTTCTGCCTGCCTTCACTAAATTTATACCACTGCAATCAACTACAGCTCTATTTTTCATTTTACATATTTGGCTGTTTGCTATAATTCTCAGTTTGCAGTTTTCATTTTCTTAAGGTCACTAATGCACTGATTAACATGCAATTTAAGTCTCAATAAAAAAAAATAATATGATCACATCATTGCATCACGATTCATTTATGAGCTATGATTTAATTAAAAAGACAATGTGAATAGTAGCAGACTGTGAATCAATTCTAGCATTTCCATTCTCTAAGTTAAACCAAGAGACAAACAGAAGACAGGGCAGACAGACTCCTCAGAAAAATGACAGATTGGTTCCCCTAACCATGAGGCATGAGAGATAAGGTAGAATTTTTTTTGGCTGTTTTGGGAATAAGGATAAAAGAGAGTTTTCCATTTCCCAAGTACAAAAGAAGCATTCTCCAGGACTTCTCAGTCTCCCTGAAATCCTTTTCTGCCCCTCCCCATATGAATTTGTGGAGGGATAGGGGGGAACATATGGAGAGTCATTGAGCTACTCCAAATATTGATGATATTCTTTCAATATCTACTAAGAAGTGGAGAATAAGGATGGAAAAAACCACTGCCACAAATTTTAGTAGGAGCAAAATGGTATAGTCTCCAAGCAGATTCATCGTTGTGGTGATGAACAGCCAACAAAACATGGTGCATGTTAGCACTCATCATTTTCCATGTGCACAAATACACAGATGCATCCCTCCCTCCAACAAAAGCACTTTTAAGAAAGATGCATCCTAAACCATAATATATATTTGCAACAGCTGCATTCAAAAAAATATCTATTAAATATAATTGTGTTTTGAAAAGTCCATATTATAAAAGCTAATGACAAAATTCCATGTGTATATTAGGAAAAATTGCAAGCAACAAGAAACATGGCTTTTCCAGTTTTAAAGATAAGTCCAGTAAATCACGCATTTGAATGATATATAAAAACCTACAATATAGTCTGGAAAGCCAGTCAGTGATTAAGGCATCAGCTAGAAACCAGGAGATTGTGAGTTCTAGTCCAACCTTGGACTCAAAGCCAGCTGGGTGACCTTGGGCCAGTCCTTCTGTCTCAATCATAGGAAGGAAGCAGTGGCAGATCACTTCTGAAATCTTGCCAAGAAAACTGCAGGGATTTGTCCAGGCAGTTGCCAGAGTCAAAAACTGACCCAAAGGCATAGACACAAAAAAGTGTGTGTGTGTGTGTGTGTGTGTGTGTTCCAGATCATTAGTCAGACTGATGAAGGATGTGTGTGAGTGTGTCATTACTGCAGCAGGAGATAGAAGAACTGTGCCCTCAGCCTTGATTGTCTTAGTAATATCTGCATCAATCATTACTAGGGAATATTCTCCCTGACTCTTCAGCCACTCACCCAACCTCTATTTAATGAAAGCTGAAGAGCCAGTCAACAATTATATGGCAAATAAATTGGTAGAGATGACAGGTTTCATTACTTTTTAAAAAAATAAAGCATTAAAAATAACAGTCACATAAAATTAGTGGGAATTCTTATGGTAGGATTAGCTGGAAGACTATATCCCACCAGCATGTGTCAACCTTGGTTCCAAATCTATTCTGATCTCTACAGAATTGTTAGAGAAAGCAGCTTCAGTATTGAACAGACTTACTATTCTGCTAGGTAAATTAAAATACAAACATATAACCCCATTTTTGGAAATCACTGAATAAAAGTTAGTAAAAATAAATTGCACATTTATTTTCATATCTACTTACTGTAAGTGTTTAGTCATATTTCAGCTCCATTTCTTTAATTCTCTCCTGTTATTCATCATATTTGTATCCTAATGCAAACAGCAGTAGGTCTGTTTTAGCTAGCCTGGCTGCAGTATTTTAGTTTCTAAAGTTGGGAATTGCTCAAACTACACCCCTGTGCTCCTTGCGTGGCCCAAAACCCAGAGAGTTCTCAAATATCTTTCATCCTGTTTTCTTTTTTTCATGGTAGTGTTCTGCAACTACAATAGTAGGGGAGAATGTACCACTAAAATACCTATTCAAACATTTCAAGTAACTTTTAAATGACTAAAGGACAAACATAACACTTTCTGTTTTCTTTCTTTTTTCAGATGAAGTGCTGGAATTTTATCTATTTGAATAATCAAAATTATGCTTTCCGTAGTTTCTTGGGTGCAAAGATTTGAAAACCTTCTGAAAGTCTGCAGTCTGTGCAATTCATGCTTTAGTCCTTGACTTATGACCACAATTGAGTCCAAAATATCCATTGCAAAAGCAAGATAGTTCTTAAGGGAGTTTTGCCCCATTTTACGACCTTTCTTGCCACAGTTGTTAAATGAACCACTGCAGTTGTTAAGTTAGTAACATGACCATTAAGGGGCTTCCCCATTGACTTTTCTTGTCAGAAGGTTGTAAAAGGTGGTCATATGGCCCTGGGACACTGAGACTGTCATAAAAACATGCCAGCTGCCAAGCATCCAAATTTTGATCATGTGACCACAAGGGTGCTGCAATGGTCGTAAATGTGAAAGGCTTTTTTCAGGGCTGTTGTAACTTCCAATGAATGGTTGTAAGTCAAGGACTGTACTGAGATGAATGCAAGGCCATCCTGACTCTTCTCTGTCATTATGGGGATTTTGTTTAACTTCACTTGGAGAAGTTTCATTGCTTCCTGGGCAACTTTAAAAGTCTGGGCAGAGGAACAGCCCTTGGAAAGAGAAGCATTCCAGAACTTCGCCACTTTGGTGGTTGTAATTCATTCAGGTGGGTTCATTGCCCAAATCAACAATACCATCTGGTCTTTATAGTGCATATAGTCCAATGTTACAGTGTACCAACTGGGTACAAGATTTTTCCTATTTTCATCGACCTTGTGTGTATCTAAAGTTGTAGGTCCACTAATATGTCTTTCACACCCATTGTCTTCCATATGTAAAACATGGCACACAAATTTATACTTTAATTTTTATGCCATTTTGAAGATAACATTAATATTGGTTCTGCGGTGAATTTTTATATTTCAGATTTGGTCACTAAATGAAATTGTTAGTATTTGCTTTTCCATCATTTGCTGTGTTACTCAAAGCTTCTGTGCTTTCAGTTTTTTGAGGTTCCACACTTAACAGCTATGGCACATTTCTTATAGTATTATGCCATTCTGCTCCTGCTTTGGGATTTTTCATTACTTGGAGGACTAATTTTATGGGGTTAAAGCTAAGCAAAAAAAAAAAAAAGGAAACTAAAGGAAACCTCCCAATTCCCATGCCCAGGAAAACAGCCAGCTCTTAAAAGCTTTCCAAAAGGCCAGGAGGTTTGGAGCCAATCTGGGATGGTGTTCTAAAAGACAAGTGCTGCCTGAAACCTGATTAAAATAGGTCCACTTTCTCCAGGATTCTGTGAAGCTGCAGTGCAACTTCCATCTCGACAATCTTCCTTAACAAGGGAAGGTTGAAAACAGAATGAAAATTATGCAAAATGGTTGGGTTCAATGACAGCTTCTTGAGGAAGCAATAAACTACTACTTAAGTATTAACAACCCATCTCTCACAGATCTATGCCCAGACCAAACCATAAGTCCCTCTTTGAGGGACATTGGTGGTTCCGAAATGTGATCAATCAATCAATAAACAAACAAACAAACAAACAAACAAACAAACTCTTGGCTAGCAGAAGGACACTGATCAAACACAGAGATGGCTGAACTCAGAGCTCTGAGGTCCCTGCCCACTTCTTTGGGTCTTCCTCTTGGAACTTGATGATCACAATGTCATTGGAGAACCTGAAAAATTTACTTTGTTGCCACCAGAAATACTGAAAATTTCTTCAGGGACTAATGGGAAGACCTCTGGAGAGATAGTGTTGTTATCTCACCAAAGCTTTTCATAGTGTATTGGACACCTCAGCATACATGGATGGTGAATGAGCAATAAAGGAAGGTGATGACACTGATCAAAGAGCCTTTATTTATTGATTCAATCTTGAAAAGGCTTTCAATTTATCTCCCAAATCACTTTCATTAATATTGAATATGTCATGTCTCAGTATTGTTAGTAATGTGCCTTGCGTTGTTTGTGTATATTTTTCAGATACCTAGAGGAATTTTAGAATATCATTTATCATCTTAAATGTATTGTTATACTCTTTGAGCTACAGGAAATGTTTTTCAGCTGACTGCATCACACAATGTAGTATCTGGTTAAATATTTCTACTTGTGTTTAGGGATTTTAATGAGATTATCCCATGTCTCATAATGATTTTTTTTCAGTGATTGTTGTATGCTTAAGTGAGTGGTAACTTCTACGCAGTCATCATCTGATTGGCAAGATTACAGGTTTGACTATATTTTCTCTAGCTGGCCCATCTTTTTCTTTCTTTCAGAGTTAGAATCTCTTGCTTACATTTATTTCAATCATTAAGCCATAAAGAAATATGAAATTAGATGTTTCTGCTGATTCCCACTGTTTTTCCACAAACAATTCCTATTAAAGATCATTCTCCTTAATTTAAACTATGTCATCATCTGTCTTCCCAACCTGGTGTTTGATAAGATTCACCAACTCAACTTAACTTTCCCATCATATGGCACTCTGTGCTTTTAGTGTTACAGAGGAAGTTCCAATATATTGTTTCAAAATTTCCTACAGAGAGATTGATGCAGAAAACACATAGATATTACTTTTAAAAATTCAGCAACCTTGATAAAAGCTGATGCAGCATCACTGACAAGCAAACTCAATGGAGGAAATTTACAAGGGATTTTTTTAAAAAAAGAGTTTAACTCTGCTCCTGCTTTTGTGTACTTAACCATAGCAGTACACTCCTACTTTTGTGTACTCTTAATCATAGTCCTGACTTCATATGTCAGCGATTGTAATTCCTCTATCTTCCAGCTTTCTAAGAAGTACATTTGCCATATCAGTAGTTCCTATAGTACCAGAACATGCTCTATAATTGCCCTATAGCAGGAATATGTTCACTAGCTTCTGTTGCTGTTACAAAATAAATCAATTCTCATTTTCCTATGACTGATGTCAGATATGCTGTTCAGAATCATGATATAATAATACCTTGCTGATTTTATATTTGCCTCAATCTTCTTTTTGACTTTTGTTGTAACTGTATGGTTTTATTTCATTTTTTTTCAATGTTTAGGGTTGTGTAGAATTTGTAACTCTTCTTAGATACATTTGGAATATAGCATAAACCCAGCTATGAATTTTAAATTTTAAGAAAACGTCCACTGTTTGACGCACACAACTGATGTGAAATGTCACACAGTGCTAGCTTTGGGAAAGCAAGCATTTGCACAATTGTAATGAATCTTTTCAGAGCATTTTGTCTCTTGAAGCTGATAACCTACAACAATCTTTAATCTTGGTGTCCACTTAAACTGTTTCCATTTATGGAAAACTCTTTGGTGATTTACTGACTTTTCATGGCACACCAAGTTTGTGTTCCAGACTTTTCCAGTCCTTTCTGGCTGTTGCATTTGCAACAAAAGCTATGGCATCTCTACTTTCCCACTGCTAGGAATTTTATATTAGGACAAACTGAAACATCTTATTTTTATAGTTTTGGAGGAGCATGAAATTTTTCAGATGTTCTAACCTCTGAAGTACATGGTGAGTGCTCAGATAAGCCTATAGTCTTGATTAATCTACTGTAGATTTAAGAAATTTAATTTAACAGTAGATGTTTCTTGTATCCTCACCAACTCTTCTCTGACCTGCACTTATCTTCAGAAATGTGCTTAGTTATATCCATTTGAAAGTATTTGTTAGGTCAACTGCACTTGGACTAACTAGAAGGGTCATGAACATTTCTGCCTCTGTATCTTAAGAATTCTGCAGAGTTAAAAGACTTCCTTTGCTTTTTGCCTCTTTTTGAATATTATCTCAGATGTTTTTTCCCCTTATCATTCATTGTTGTTGTTCTGTGCCACCTATGGTGCCCCTCAACACTAAAAAAAATAAGCAGGGTGGTAGCAGGGCTAAAATAGAATGATGTTAGTGTCTTAAGGACAAGTGCCTTCTACTAATATTTCTTACCGTGTCCCTGTCCATTCTCCTCAAGTGGATTCAAAGAAGCAACTCTGTGAGAAGCTTTTATTCATCCATCTATGATCCTGGGGGTACTGGAGAAGTACTGTATATAAGAGGGTCTTTCTCCTTCCTCTTTCCCTAAGTTTATCCTTTCTGTTATTTCTTCTCACCTTTTCTTGTTATATCTCTTGTGCCTTTCTTTCTTCACCATCATACTTTCTTGCACCTCTGTGCATTTAGAACAGAAGGAATACATTTGCCCCAGCAACAATTTTCTACATTCTGGATCTTAGTAGCCACCCCCTCCACAGTCTGGTATCTGAGATAGCCACCGCAGTTTGCCTCCTAGTAAAACACTCCAACACTATGTTTTAGCATGTACATGATATAAAAAGCCAGAACTTTAATTGGTTCTTCCTATCATAACATACAGATCACTGCTTCCCTAGAGTAAATATAAACAGTTGCCTACGTGCTGGTACAATGTACAAGGAAATGTTTACTTTTTATGTGGGCAGTTTCAGAAATACCTGCACAGATATGTATGTAATACACTTGATATTCCACTGCTATGCAAAATCAGGTGGCAGAGACTGAAGATAAGAGATTGTTGACTATAATTCCATTGATTTTCCTTCTGCATTAAGTGGCTAATATCCCAAAGCTTATCTGAAATTTCATGGTAGATTGCAGCAATCATGCAAAAATTATATCCAGAAATATTCCCAAAAGTCAATTCCACCTAGATTTCAAAACACTTCATGAATGGGTTTAGTATAGGTTACCTCCAAATGAATCATTCCCTAATTTTCACCTACAATTATCTTTTCTCTGAATATTCTCCCTGACTGGAGATGTGTATGTCAAACCATCTGGAGGATTAAAATTTACAATGCAACTATCACATTTGTTTCTTAATTTAACTAACCTCTCCTTTAGGAGTTTGAAGCGAGGTTGCCTGGGGCAGCGTTTAGCTAGATTGAAAAGGCGTCGGACATTCCGATGGCTTTTCTTGGATAGCATCTTCAAAGTCATGCCCAATTTTTGATAGCGATGCTGAATATCAACATCTGTTGCCCAATATTGAGAGATGGCAGTTATGTTCAAGAAGAGATCCACTGGCAGCTTCTTCACAAGAGACTGTAGTTCCTCTGGGAAAACAAAACAAAATATAAGCTGCAAGAAAGCATTGGAAAACATCACGAAGTTGCTATAGTTTGTTTCAATAATTAGATGGCCATGGAGTTAATTGAGCTTTGGACCATGCTACTTATTATTTATTTACATTCTGCCTTTATTATTTTTACAAATAGCTCCAGGTGACAAACATATCCAATGCAACTTCCTCCTCCTATTTTCCCCACAACAACCCTGTGAGGTGAGTTGGGCCGAGAGAGATGATTGCTCCAAAGTCACCCAACGGGTTTTCATGGCTAAGGAATCCCTGCAGATTTTACTCTGCTAGGTCTTGCTGACTATAGGGGATGGTGCTCATTTCCATTTCAGGGTCATTAAGCCAGAGCTGTCTGAAGACATTTCCATGGTCATGTGGCCAGCATGACATCATGGAGTGCTGTTACCTGTCCACTGAAGTGGTACCTATTTATCTGCTCACATTTGCATGCTTTTGAACTGGTAGGTTGGCGGGAACTGGGCCGAGAATGAGAGCTCACCTTGTCGCATGGACCTTGGATCTTGAATCTGGCTGCCGGCTTTCCAGTGTCTTAACCACTGAATCATTGCATCACCATTTCAGGGCTAAGGCAGGATTAGAATTTTTAATAATAATAAAGTTGGAAGGGACCTTGGAGGTCATCTAGTCCAACCCCCTATACCATTTCAGACAAATGGCTGTCCAGTCTCTTCTTAAAAACTTCCAGAGTTGGAGCATTCACCACTTCTGGAGGCAGGTTGTTCCACTGGTTAATTGTTCTAACTGTCAGCAACTTTCTCCTTAGTTCTAGGTTGCTTCTCTCCTTGATTAGTTTCCACCCGTTGCTTCTTGTCCTGCCTTCAGGCGCCTTGGAAAATAGCTTGACTCCCTCTTCTTTGTGGCAGCCCCTGAGATATTGGAATACTGCTATCATGTCCCCCCTTGTCCTTCTCTTCATTAAACTAGACATACCCAATTCCAGCAACCTTTCCTTATATGCTTTAGCCTCCAGTCCCCTAATCATCTTTGTTGCTCTTCTCTGTACTCTTTCTAGAGTCTCAACATCTTTTTTACATCGTGGTGACCAAAACTGGATGCAGTATTCCAAGTGTGGCCTTACCAAGGCATTGTAAAGTGATATTAATACTTCATGTGATCTTGATTCTATCCCTCTGTTAATGCAGCCCAGCACTGTGTTGCCCTTTTTGGCAGCTGCAGCACACTGCTGGCTCATATTTAAGTGATTCTTCACTAGGACTCCGAGGTCCCTCTCACAGTTACTACTTTTGAGCAAAGTACCACCTATACTATACCTGTACATTTGGTTTTTCTTGCCTAAATGTAGAACCTTACTTTTTTCACCATTGAATTTCATTTTGTTAGATATCGCCCAGTGTTCAAGTCTGTCCAGATCCTCCTGTATCTTAAGCCTGTCTTCTGGAGTGTTGGCTATTCCTGCCAGCTTGGTGTCGTCTGCAAATTTGATGATTTCCCCATCTATCCCCTCGTCCAAATCGTTGATGAAGATGTTTTTGGTTTTTTTTCTATTTTTTTAAAGTATTTTATCAATTTTCTATCACTACAATTCATTAATGCTTACTGAACAACGTGTTGTCTGGATTGATTTTTGCTTAGTGATAAAAGTTAAGTTCTTACCCTCTATCTCATTTTTCCAGCCATTCATAAAATAGGTTCCATGTCTGAAAGTATTCTGTATCTTCTTTTTCTTTGATTCTCAGTGTGAGTCTATCCATTTCTGCACAGTCCAGAATTTTCTTTTTTTTTTAATTTATTTTTTTTCCAAACTCTCCCCCATACATATACTGTGATATTTTGTTAGATAGCACCCAGTGTTCAAGTCTGTCCAGATCCTCCTGTATCCTAGGCCTGTCTTCTGGAGTGTTGGCTATTCCTGCCAGCTTGGTGTCATCTGCAAATTTGATGAGTTCCCCATCTATCCCCTCATCCAAATAATTGATGAAGATGTTGAAGAGCATTGGGCCTAGAACAGAGCCCTGGGGCACCCCACTACACACTTCCCTCCGTGTAGATGCGGTTCCATTGAGGACCACACGCTGAGTACGGCCAGTCAGCCAGCTATGGATCCATCTGGTGGTGATGCTGTCTAGCCCACATTTTTCTATCTTATCAAGTAGTAGGTTGTGATCTACTTTATCAAATGCCTTACTGAAGTCCAAGTAAATTATATCCACAGCATTCCTCTGATCCACTAATTTTGTCACTTGGTCAAAGAATGCAGTAAGATTTGTCTGGCATGATCTGTTTTTGACAAACCCATGTTGGCTTTTAGTAATGACTTTGTTTGCCTCTAGGTATTCGCTGATTCGTTGTTTGATTATCTTTTCCAGAATCTTCCCAGGTATTGAGGTCAGGCTGATAGGTCTGTAATTTCCTGGATCCATTTTTTTTTCCTTTTTTGAAGATGGGAACTACATCAGCTCTTTTCCAGTCCTCTGGTAGTTCCCCAGTGCTCCAGGATCTTTGAAAAATATAGTTCAGTGGTTCTGAGATCACGTCTGCCAGTTCCTTGAGAACCTTGGGATGTAATCCATCTGGTCCTGGTGATTTGAACTCGTCTAGGCTGGACAGGTGCTCACTTACTGTTTTCTTGCCTATCTAACTTGCGTTGCTATTCTGTTTTTTATGGCACTATTTTTGATAGGTTGGTCTGGTTTTTTCCCTTTGTGTAAAGACAGATGCAAAAAACTAGTTAAATAGTTCTGCTTTCTCCCTGTTGCTTGTCACCTTCTTGCCACTTTCCCCCACTAATGGACCAATCATTTCCTTCACTGTTTTCTTGTTTTTTACATGTTGAAAGCTTTTTTTGTTATTTTTGACTTTGGTCGCAAGCCTTAGTTCATTTTGAGCCTTAGCTTTCCTCACTTCATCTTTGCAGGCTCGGGCTATTTGTTGATATTCTGACTTAGTTATGTGCCCCTCTTTCCACTTTCTATACTTGTCCTTTTTATCAATTTATCAGAGAGTTCTTTATGCAGCCATGCTGGTTTCTTTTGAGAGCTGTTATTTTTCCTCTTTATTGGTATTGTGCTGGACTGAGCTTTTATTATCTCACTTTTCAAAATTTCCCAAGCTTCTTGAGCTGTTTTTCCCTTGAGGATTCTCATCCATGGAATCCTTCCCAAGCTCTCTCTAAGTTTATTGAAATTAGCTCTCTTAAAGTCCAAGACTCTAGTTTGACTGTGTTCTATTGCTTGTGCTTGCATAATGTTGAATTCCAATACTGCATGATCAGATTCATGGGCTCTTGCTTTCTAGCCTTGTACCTTAGCCACTACACCAAACTGGCTCTCTACTTGAGGTTGCTAATGATGCCAGGTAAGGCCAGTACCTCCTCAATTTCAAAAAAGAAGTAAGGACTTTGAGTTGATCATCTAAGTGAGCCTTGGAAAATAGAGTAAACAAGTATTCAGATCCTCTATTATATTATTTCACACTAGGATGTAATGTATTTATTTCTATTGAAATGATAGTAAATAATTTTAAATGTGCAAATAAACCATGGTCTGCGTATTTATTCAGTTTTACATTCTCCCATGTCATCTTTCTGGTGATAGGTTTCTTCTTCTTAAATGATGTCCAATAACTTTGGGTAATTCAACTGAATTATTCTCTTTTAAATACACTGGAGAATGACTTATTAATTTACATTTGTGCCAAACAGGATTTAGCTATTGTGTTTCTCTCTAATGGGTACATATCATTTACAGGAGAGGTAGGGAACCAAATAATGGAAAACAACATTGAGAAAAGAAGATTTATCCTGAATCCACAGAGCTAATAGCATCTTCCTTCCTTCATATTTTTGGAATAGAGATGCTAAAATTTACTGGAGCACTTACACAGTTCCAATCAGCAGAAATTCTCTCAGACTATCCTATTTTATAGCTAACAATTGTCAGAATTCTGATAGTACTTCACTGAAATCTATTCTCCAAATGAAATGTACATCCTACAAATAAGAAAGTTCCAAGTCTCTCCTTTCAATTTTGTAATTTGAGAATGGGGCTATAAATTAAAATGGGTAGCTACCTTTGAGCCCATGCTCATTGTATGTAGGACTGTCAGGATCCATACTTAAAGTTCTTACAATGACCAGCTGCAATTTGAGAGAGGGGAAATATGTGTGGGTTGAATTGGAACCTGTCTCCATCTTAAAATCACAGGGGTCACACAAACCAAGAAAAAGCATTAACAAGATGGAAATAAATGGCTGGGTGAAAGTCCCATCACTTGTCACCTTACTCAACTACAGCTTGTTTGGTCTCTGGTTAGTAGCTTTGAAATCTTGGGGTCAGTGATAGGAGGAGGATTCCAGCCCTTAATTTCTAACCTCCATTCCACACTTGTTAAATAATCACTGGCTTATCACAGATTTATTGAAGCTGACATACTGTATTCGATTTAGAGAGGGAAGAATTCAATACATATATTTTTAAAACCTCCACCTTGACATTCTTTGGAAATGCATACAGTACTGGGAAATAAATTATAGGAAAAGCAATTTTAGTTGGATAAATATTATTGAAGCTGAATCCAATACTTTGTGTCTTGTTTTAAGAGCTATGATGTCTGTATACATTGTACAAACCCAGTAAGTATCCTGCATTTGATGTAATTGTATTGACCACCTTTCTTTTTATATAAACTCATACTTTAAAGAGAATAAAAATGTCTTTATTCTCTACTGAGTATAAGCTAATAGTCAACTGAACAGAACATATACATATCCTTTCTTCCATCTCTCTTTCTATCCTTTACTTATCTTGAGTTTTAGACACTAAATTTGTCCAGAGCAAAGCCTTCAGCTGTTACTCTGCAAAAATGCACCATGCACATTAATGGAACTGTATAAAGATATATAAAGAGCCCCTCTGTGAGGGATATGGCCTGTTACGAAGTTTGATAAATAAATAAATATGATTATTTATTAATAAAAAATAAAAAAGATTATTAACTGATATTCAAATGTTGTTCAGTTTAACAACTATTGTGTATATATTACTTTTCTAAATGTTTAAGACACTAAAGAAATCTTCTGTAAACCTTCATCCATTTCAACTGCTATTTATGTATAGATAATTAGATTTAAACTGTTATATTACTTTATTTATTTATTTTTTTAAAAAACCAATCCATTAGATGCTTTTCATCCCCTTCTCCAGGGATGGAAAATAAGACACAAACTTAAATTATACATTAATAAATATACTAGAGAATGCCAAATGATTCGTTGAATGTTTTATAATAATCATATTTTTTGAATATGAGTTAGAGGAAAGAAATTCTCTCATGCAATTATGCACTAAATGTGAATGGATTATGCAGAGAAGTAGTTGAATTCCTCATTGTTGAGAAAGAATTCTAAAAACTCAATCTGTTGACTAATATTCTTCTAAGACTATATAATGTTAACTCACATCGTTCTACTCTTCATAATTATTTTCTGTTTTAATTCAGCAAATGAAAGTGCTTGAGTATTGGAAATTTGAAAGTGAGGCATATTTTCATTCATGTTCCAAACACAGAATATCTAAAAAAACAAATCTAGGCTTACCCATACATGTCAAAACCCAATTTCATTTTTCCCTCAACCATGTGGAACAGGAATCAGATTTCTATTTGTGAATGAATGAAAATAATCACACCCTCAACCTGATGCTTTATGGGTAATTCTTAGTGCTCTTACCAACCTGATTCAGTTGCTGGTTACATCAACTGTAACAACTCTCAGTAGTAGTTAGTTGGCTGCAGGATTGAGGGTCAGACTATCCTTCTTCCCCTAGCGAAACTGCGCCCAGCCCATTGCTGGCAATGGCAAAAAAGTCGCGATACAGTACCTATATTTCTTTATAGAGTATCTAGTTGAGAAATTGGCAATCTAATGCCCTTCAAAAATATTTCATTTTAATTCCCAATAGTTCTAGCCAGTATTGCCAATACAAAAGGACTATGGAAGTTGCAATCCAAATCATCTAGAAGGCATCATACTGTCTACTCCTAATCCAGGATTAGCACATTTCTTTTTAAAGGCATTTCCAGACTGCATTGAATTTCCTGGAATTAAGCATGATTAAATAATAGAGGAAGAATATATGTTAAGCTATTTATTATGTGTCGCAGTGACTTGGATCAAGAGAACATGGTTGAAATACCTGAGACTTTTTGTGTGAATGGCCAGTTTGGATCGCTCAATAGCTTTCCTCCTAAGCTTCCTCAAAGGGTCAGTTTGAAGAGAATTGTAGATGGAGCAGAGCTTCCTCCTTCCGTTATATTTTCAAGATAGATATTTATTTGTTATGTATATGTAGGGGTGTGGGTCTATACATATGTTGTATATAGTATGTTAGGTGTGTGTCATGTATGTGTTCACTTTGAGATCGGGCAACTAAATTTCATTTTTGATGTGTGCCGTTGTGCCCACAGTAAAAAAAATGACAATAAAGGTTATCTTATCTTATCTTATCTATATACAGTACACAGGCCAAACTCTTTGAAGTCAGGGGTGGAAGATTCAAATATATCAAAAAACAACATTTCTGCATACTTTTCACTCTTTCTGACTTCAAGCTCATGATGTGATTTGTTCTAAAAACTCCACATAACATGCAAAATACAGAAAGGATGCTTACATAGAAGAAAGAGGGAAGGAGAGGAAGAGAGAGGGAAATTTTTAAACTGAAATCCCACTACCTGAAGTTCAAGAGAAAACCAACAGCTTCCTCCTAACAAGCTGCCACACTAGGATAAGGAGTGAAATAACTTTTGTAGCCAGGATCATACTTTTATTATTTCATTAATGTTACCCTTGAGGAATGCAAGGCATGATGATAATCTAAAGTTGTTACAAAAGCGGTAGGATTGAAATATTTAAGTAGCTTTTAGGAAGTAAAATGAAAATAATCATCTTAACTCTACCAAATTATTTGTCCTGATCTTTTTACTCCAAGGCTGAGCTGCTGAAAACTGTCTACAAACTTAGGCAGTTCTAGGGACTGCAAAAATGATTCTTGGAGCCTGTGTTGCCTATAAGCTTTGGTTGTCCATCCTACACTCTGCCTCAGACCCTTAATTCTTTGTAATATCTTTCTAAAATAAAATGAAAACAACAGGCTTTAGAAAAGATAAGACCAACACACCTAATAAACAGCAAGAATGTAGTCACAAACAGTTAAATACGTATTGTGTTACATTACAGCTGTGTAATCTCAGTGATCTCTACAGCAGACTATTATGGCTGTCCCTTCCAGAGACAATCAGTTACAAAAATTAGTCATTCTCATAAAAGAAATTGTCATGGTTCCGACAGATGAAACCGGTAAAAGAACTTCAAGGCAAGAATTCTTCCTTAAAGAACATTTTATTAGGAAACAAAGTTTCGGCACTTACATAGTTGAACCCAAAACTGAGATTCCCTCCCCCCCAGACACAAAGTAACGTTGCAATTCCTATCCCACAAATGCTGTCATAAATCACATTCCCCAATTAACTCAAGACATGGGCTTTCTCACCTGCCCCTCAGCCGCCAAAACCTTACCAGACCCTGTCCTTAAGTTCTCACACTTCTACATTGTTATGGCTAGCTAAACCCCCAAGCATTTACCCCATCCCCCCTTCTACATTTGAACTTTAAAAGAATAGAAAAGGCACGTTAGAAGTAAAAGTAAATATGGCTGCTGATTCTCAGTTGTCAGAGCGACGACATCCATTGTCACAGCATTGACAGAAATTTCACTGATCTCTGCTTCAAAGAAGTATTAGAACTAGTGAAGCAACCTATTCCTCCAAACAACGAGGCCATTTACATAGATTGATTAATCACAGTCACAAAAGGCTTCTAATTTGTGTAAACTCAGATTTATAAATGACAGAATATTTCAGGTATCAAGCAAGATGTCAAAAAGACTAACCAGTTGATGGCCCACCCAGCCAATATTTTCTCATTTCAAACTAAGCATGCTGGAAACAAACAATTTTCTGAAACTGGAATGAGTTATGGTTATTGCTGAATATGTTGCTGAATATATTGCTGGCACTATTAATGGCAGAGTATGAAAAATGTAAAATCAGAGTACGAAAAATCCTAAACTCAATGTTTGAAAATCCATGTTTCCCCATCTCACCTGATTCCCGAAACTGTTGATTGTGACTCTCCCAGATTTCCTGGATCTGGAGAAGGCTATCTTCCATACTCTGGATGTCAGTCTCAGGACAATTGCATTGTGGGTAATTAAACTCACATTGGCACCAGCAGTCATTATCTCGGCACAGCAGCTCCCCCTCTGAATTGCAGGTGATGTAACTTAGGGCAGCAACAACAAAGCGTTCTCGCAGGTACTCAGGTAATACTGCCTGAAGACCTGCCAAAGGCATACAAAGTAGTCACAACCTTAGTACAGTGATATCCACATTGGGAATAAATGAGTATTTTAGAAATCAAACTGCTGCCCTCATAGTTCTTTTCAGGAGAGTAAACATTTAAATAGAAAAAGAAAAAGGAGGCAAAAATTGTTAAGTTCAGCTAATTGTTGGCAAAGTGGTATTTCAAAGATAAGACTGATATTTGCAGTGGGTCATTTTTAGACAAAAAAAATTGCTTCACATTAATTTTGTTTTGAAGGATTAACTGGTTATTTAGAGAAGTTCAGTTCTTAAAATTATGCACTGATCTTCTGGAAATTAATAGGTAGCTGCATATATGAATACAGTATATTTTTATGATTGCAAAAAAAGGATACTATAATATTAGAAGACTATCCATTCAGCAGCGTGAAGAGGTTATCTTTCTCTCTATAGCTAAACAATCATTTTACTGCTATGAATTCCAATTAGGATTTATCTAGGAATCTAAACTGCATATATCAGTTGGTATGTTTAACTTTTCATTTGTTTCCCATTAAGTAAAATAACTTCAGTGTTAATAACACTGTATGAGACATGTATATACACAAGTTTTATTTGATACATTGAAAATATATGTTTTTACATTTTTCCCATTTTTTCTTTTTTTTTGTTTCTCTTTTTGAAGATAAAATAATAAACAAATAAATAGCCCAAGCAATGAAATTATTGTGGTGGGATCTGAAAACTTATCTTCCTGCTGATTAAAACATTTCAAGAGGAAAAGAAATAATATTTCCACATTCTTCCAATATTGATCCTCAAACTTAGAATGCATTACCATGAATAGATAGGCAGTACAACCAAAGCTGTAATCATATCTTGATAAAAAAAAACTGGACAGCTAAAGATAGATTGATAAGAAAAGCACAAAAGTTTAAAACTCAAATTTTTGCTTACCACAGCTGAAACACAAATGTGTTGAAAATAGTAAATGACTCTATGGCAGTAATCTTAATGCAGAATTGGTCTGAAATTCCGTTGATTGATTTGAATTGGTCTGATGCTCTGCTGATTGCTGAATATGAATACAGAATGTACTGAGTGTAGTGTTGTCTTTTGATAATTTCTGAATTATTTTGCAACAGAGAAGAAGACTTCCTAACATTGGGATTACCACACTAGAGCCACAGGATCCAACTTCCTACTGCAAGATTCCCAGTGAAGCACAGTTAGGTAAACTATATGAATGCAATATTCTTAAGGATGGTGGGTTTTATTTTTGAGACCAGTTTCTTCATAGACAGACTATAGATTAGTCTTGCCCAGAATCCCTTCTCGTTTGGCTAGGAAAAGTCTAAAGTTACATCATTCCTTTACAAGTGATTTCCACCATATGGAGGCAGGAGACATTTTTGGCTTTTACTATTATTTTGATTTCAGAAAATGATGCTGATAAATCAAGGAGGAAACTGAAAATAGGACTGGTAGAACAAGTCAATCAGATTCTCTACAGTAATACATTTATTTTGACTTGGTCCAGGTTGATGGTATTATTTTCGCCAATTGTGGGAAAAGAGAAAATAGTATTTGCTGCCTGCAAAAAAACTGAAACATCTCATAGCATTGGAAAGGAAGACGTATCTCAGTATAATTCCTTGTTCATTTTGCTATGATTGAGTGCATCAGTCTGGCTTTCTTATGAACTTAGTCTTTTCTTCAGTGAAGGAAATTGCCTGAGAATTATCAGAACACGTTTTTCTCATAATCTGAGTATACTATTTTTCTGGTCATATCTATCCTCCACTCAAAAACAAGATAAATTCATATGCAATAATAATATTGGATAAATTCATATCCAGTAATATGTGCTGGCAATTTGGACACAGTATTCTAAATCATACTGGCAATATTGAGAATATCACTTAAGTAATGCAACATTTTCATAACATGTTTTCTTCAGTTGCAGACCATATATTTGCAATCAACAAATTTATAGCTATATCAAGATATTTTAAGCAGACACTGTAAATAACACCTCTGATCAATTCACACTCTACTGTAGCCATTAGTAATTATTAATATTGAATGGGTGATGTTAGAATTTCCATCAATTCTGCTAATTTGTGAACGTCTCTTCAAGGGAGTAAACACAATCCCCCAGACTGTGCATCTGAGCACTTAATTTGTAGTAATCCTAATTTATATCTATAATATATAGAAAAGCCAAAAGTTGTAATTGGGCAATATGTTATTTATTTATTTATTGCTGTGCCTTTGAGTCAGCTTTGGCTCCTGGCAACTGCCTGGACAAGTTAATTAGGACCAACCAAAATGCCATTACTGACTTTTTTTTGTCTAATTATTTATAATTAATCTCCACTTTGTTAATATAAAGGCAATTAAGTTTCTTTTAATTCTGTTCTGTACTAATCCAGAGTCTGTCATTTTTGTTCAGAGCACAGCTTTTAGATTTTCTGAAATTAGGGAATGGGATGAGATGGGGAAGCCACTGCTAAAATCTACTAATGGTCTATGATTTAGCTATTTTGAGTCTAAACTGCAACTTAGGTCCACAGTTTCTAATTATTCTTTATCTCACAGCCTAAAGAAAATTCTAAGGACCTAAAAGTTTGAATTATTTTATCTGATGGACTAGCATAGTTATTCTTGTGTATGTATATTTGTTTATGAATGTATTACATGCTAATGAAATATTATACAGTATATGTATATATGTGTATATATTTTTGTGTATGTGTATACACACACACATATATTTTTGATTTTGTTCCTGAATATGTGATGCAGTTATATGCCTCAGCCAGATAGTCTGATCGGGTCTCCTGGTTAATTTATATGAATAGCATCCTCATGCTTGCTTTCAGTAGGATCAGTGAAGCTCTATAATCTCCATTTCCCCTGAGATTAGATTGGCTCTGTCCCTGTTTGCCTTTCATAAGGCCTTAAGAACTTTGCTTTGTGCTTGAGCGTGGGTCCCTGGGTTGTCTTCTGGGTGATAGATTAGATCCTGCCCAGCTGCTATGTGTTTTTTTATATCATGTTCTGTGTTTTGACTTGTTTTATTGTAAGCCACCTAGAGTCACATAAAAGTGAGATGGGCGGCTACATAAATCAAGCAAATAAATAAATAATGAGGTTTCTGTGTGGAAATTATCCTGGGACAGTAGGAGTTATAATCATAGAAGCCATAATTTAAATTGCAATCAGTGTTGGCTAAAGATGCTAGTATGGAAGAGCATATCCCATTTTTAAGAAATATCCCATTCCTAAGAAAGAAAGCAATACTTTGCATTAAATGCATTTTAGAAGAGCAATACTTTGCATTAAATGCATTTTAGTATTCTTTGTAGCAGTATATTACACTGACACACAAACATTACAAAGTGAGTGTCCAGTGACTAATGCAGATAAACAGAGCAGGTGAAAAGAGAAACACCCTTACCAAGTAGCTGAACCTTGTTTTCTGGGCTTTGCACAAGAACCGAACTCACAGAGTCAAGGTTGTCGTAGTTACTGCAGCCAAGTGGGCCCGTCCTGGTTTCAGTAACCTAAAGTTGGGAAACATATAGCTTTAATGTAATGTAAGCCCCTAAGTAAAACAAATAGAAGGTAACCCTTTCTGATCCAAGAAGATGTTTGGACTGCCAGGAGATACAGTACTTTTGATTGATGAAAAAACTGGCAATGGGAGGTAGAAAAATGGTGCAGCATTTAGGTTTTAGTGATTCAACCAAATGCTTCATAGTAACCTTCCCCAATGGCTGGAAGGCACCAGGCAAAGGATGTGTTTATTAAAAGATTATGGGAAAAGAAGTTCCGCGCACCTGGAAGACAGGTGTTGAGAGAAGCTGCCTTACAGTATATAGTTTCATAAGGTTAGATGTGGATACAGAATTGGTGCCATCATGCCATTGTCTCATCTCCTCCACTTACATCACCCTGCCAGAATGGTGCCCTCTTGTATACATGCACTCTCTGCTTCAGAAGAATCAATTTAGGCCCTACTTCTGAATTCCATCTTCTTCCCCTGGACTATGTTATGTGCAAAATCTTCAATGATTTTCCCCTGCTAGCATATGTTGTCTACAAAAGCTTCTTCTTTCATCTGATCCTGCTTAAATGGGCCTGCATTAGTGTAGACCTAATTGTTATCTATCTGGATCAAGTTAGAACTGGATCAAGTTAGAACTGTGAGTCTCTTGTCTTATTTCAGTATGCATCCTCTCATTCATTACTGGAAATTCATAATTTTAATAAAGCTAAAGAGACATTCCTTTCTGAATGAAGACATTCCTTTCTGAAGAGCAAGATTTTGCCTCTTGCCTATTTTCACTGCCATCATGAAACTTCTTCTAATGTCTTTCTTCTTTTCTCCTTTAGAAAACATCAGTCTTTATCAACATCACTTGTAAAATGCCACAAGTTATGTATAACTTATAAAATTTATAAGTTTATAAAATTTACCAGATAACATAATTTATTCATACTAGAAACTATACGTTATGAAGTAGTATAGCATCAACACTGGATATATCATAGGCCAGAGGTCCCCAACCTTTTGGGCACCAGGGACCGGTTCCATGGAGAGTGATTTTTCTGCGGACCAGAGGGTGCGTGTTTTGGGGTGCTGCCTGCATCCTGGGGATGGGGCTTTGCTTGTTTGTGCAGACCAGTTGCTGGCATGCCGCAGCCCAGTACTGGTCCACGGACAGGGGGTTGGGGACCCCTGTCATAGGCAATACATAAAGTGTCACCACAATTAAAATATCAATAGCAGCAAAGGAGGGAGTCTCTGAATTTATCTTAGACAATGCTCAGAGGAAGGGGAGGAGCTGGATATAGGTTTCTTTTTTCAAACTGCCATTTGCCTCTCAGAATTGCTCCAAAGCTGGTTTTGTTGTGAAGATAGGAATGTATTTGAGAGTGAAGGAAGGAAACAGAGCATTTCTTTAGGGGTTTGCAAGAAAAGGATGTACTATTCTGGGCTGCTTTGGTCAGCTTCAGATTCTACCCTAGCCCTAAACAAACACAACTGATATGAAACTATCACATATTTCAGGAATCACTCCTATTTTGACTGTAAGAGGTAGCATCCTGAGGCACCTCCAAAAGGATACCAAAATTAAAATCAATAAGATTTATTTAAAAATTGTAAAATTGTCACAAAATCACTATATTGTGAGACTTTGTGCAAGAACATCCCAAAATAGACTGATTAATTTCAATCAATTAATTACTGAACCCTCTAGCTCAACATCCTATCAATTGGTTCAGAGGAGTACCATGACTGTTGTTATTTGCGAAGTCATGTCCGACCCATCACAACCCCATGGACAACGTTCTTCCAGGCCTTCCTGTCCTCTACCATCTTCTGGAGTCCATTTAAGCTTACACCTACTGCTCAGTGACTCTATCCAGCCACCTCATTCTCTGTCGTCCCCTTCTTCTATTGCCCTCAGTCTTTCCCAGCATTAGGCTCTTCTCCAGTGAGTCCTTCCTTCTCATTAGGTGGCCAAAGTATTTGAGTTTCAACTTCAGGATCTGGCCTTCTAAAGAGCAGTCGGGGTTGATCTCCTCTAGGACTGACCGGTTTGATCGCCTTGCAGTCCAGGGGACTTGCAGGAACATCAAAAACCAGTGAGAAGTCCTGGTCATCTGATATGATTGCTTTTTATCAATCCCAATCATCCATGATGGAAACTAAAACTGAACACCTGATTCCAAACAGTTTAGATCATAAGATATGATATTGAGATATACATGGAACTAGAAATCACTCTAAATTGGAATAGGTATGAAAATGAACGAAAGAAGATATTTCTTTAGAAACTGGCATGGTATAGAGCCGTGGTGGCGAACCTATGGCACACGTGCCACAGGTGGCAGGCAGAGCCCTCTCTGTGGGCACGTGCACCGTCGCCCCAGTCCTAGACCTTCAGCTGGGTTTTATAAAACCTTTTCACTTTAGGCCTCCGCCGCCGTGTGCAAAAAAAAAAAGGGTTCAATCAATCAATCAATTTCAACTTCTCGCAGGAAAAAAAAAGACCTCGCAAAGTTGGAATTGATTGATTGAACTTTTTAGTCCCATCCAGTCTGCCGTTATCACCGAAACCATGCCCACCCAATGGGCCACATCCACCCAATGGACCACGCCCATCCAGCACCCAACGATACATAAGTGGATTTTGGGTTGCAGTTTGGGCACTTGGTCTCTAAAAGGTTCGCCATCACTGGTATAGAGTCATGTTGAAATATAATTAAAACAAAATAACAAGCTTTATTGTTATTTTGAAATTGCTCTACTGTTATTTTTTATATTATTACAGTTCTCTGACTGGCTTTTATCTTATTAATACTTTTATTTTGTTTTTATTTCTTATTCGTTTATTTAGTCAAATTTATTTGGCTACCCATCTCACTTGAAGTGATTCTGGGTGGCAGACAACATATAAACCACCATGGCTGCTTATATAGAAAGGCAGTATAAAAATAAAGGTATTTTAATAAAGACAGCATAAAAATACAACAGAGTATAGTAATTGGTTGGAATAATTTTAAATCTTTAAAAGTAACTTCATATGTATTTTGAGGTTACTTTCTATTTAAGCTATAAATGGCATAATTTCAATAATATTGCAATGTCTTCCCACAAAATAACTCTATACATTTTACATCCAGAAAAAATGCCAGTATAAAATAAAGATAGCATCATGCTTTGGAGGCCATTAATGATACACAGGAGAAAGACAGTTTCTATCACTAGGAAGACTGAATTCAGATTTTTCTTTCCTAACAAGAAAGTTGCACAAGAATATAAGCCTTTCCTGCACAACTTAGAATTGTTTCAGTGAAACTTGTGCAGAAAAAAATTTCCACTAGAGTATTCCTTATATTAACAATGCCAGAAAAGGAAGGGAACATTTGCACAAATATATCTATCAACTCCAAAACTTAAAAGTGGTAGCAAAAAAATGAGAAAAAAACAGCACTTCATGCATATGAAATTAAATATGAAAGTACTTTGAAATTGCAAGGTGGAAAATTGGTTGTATAAGCAAGAATGAAGTACATCAAGTTTGTGACAGTGCAAGAGGCAGCACTGCTTCTAAAAATAGAAAAGAAATGTATAATAATTGGCTTGTTGAGAGAGAAGATTCCCCCACCTGTACTTCCTTCTCCAAAATTCAGCATAATTAGCAAAACCATTTCCCCATAAATAGCATAAAGTCAACAGGCCTGACTCCTGTTTGATATTCCTCCTGTATCTTTGGGTGGGTGGAGGAATAGAAATAGATGACTAACATGAAGGGTTTATAATTGTGGAAATCTCAGGGATGGGAGTTCTGATTAAGCAACCTGAAAATTATAGTCCAGGCACACAGAGAAGTTGAGGAGGGGGGAATAAATTGTATTCTGTCAAATGCAGAAGGAAAAGTAAAGTAACCAGCATCCAACAATTACAGAATACTCTGGGAGAAATACTGCAGGCTTCTGTCCAAAACTAAAACTGTCTCCTTCATAGCACATTGGGTTGAAAAGGGGATTAGCTGGCAAGGCTGAAAAAGTGGGAAACAGATGGAACCAGAGTCTAACTCAGCTTAAGTAACTTTATATATAGTGATTGCTCTAAGCTTATCCAATGAATGGAATTTGTCTGCTCTACCAAATCCAAGTCCATTTCTTTGTCTATGGCTCAGACAGTCGGCAACTTACATATATGCATCCCTTGGGCAGCCCTTTCATCTCTTCCCCCCTCATTTTGCAGTAAAGATGCAACAGTAAAGTAGCATTTTAGGTCTGTGTACTTGTCTTTTGACATTATTCTGTTTTGGAATTCTTGAGTATTCATTTGAGTTTAAATTCTTTTTATTTTTCAGTGTTATGCCCACTTTTCTGTCATGCCTGAGGGTACCCAGTACCTGGAAAACAAAAAAACAAAACAAAAGGCTAAGTGTGGCCAAGTGTAAAAGGTTATTCATATTTTTAACAGCTTCATCTCTGGTGCAAAGCTACACTTCTTTTTCTATGGGTCGCTTACTTTTTTATCATCATTACCAATTTTGCAACTTCAGGGTCTCAGTTATTGTTCAGAGAAATGGTTTTGCACAGAGCTCGTTCTCAAGGGTACTCTATATAACCCTTATTTATGTGCTTCTAGATTTACCTTGATTGCAGCAGTTGCTATCTGGATATGGTGGAGACGTCTTAGGGTGCTCTCCCGATCAATGAAGTATGAGGCTGCCAACTGATGCAGTGTTTCCAAGGAGACGGTGGTGTTATTTCCACCACTCCCTGATAGGTTACCAGCTTCTGCTTTCCGACTGAGCTTCCGTTTGTCCACAAAAATGGTCAAGGATTCTTCCCCTGTGAAGACATGAGGCTATATGCTGAGTTGGTTCAACACCAGGATTCAGAAGCATTGAGGCAATGGATAAATTTAACCACAAAAGAGAATAATGAAGAAAAAAAAAACCTACAACTTACTACAGTTTGACTTACAACAGTTCATTTAATGACTGTTCAAAGTTATGACATCATTGAAAAAAATTGATTTATGACCAGTTTTCACACTTATGACCATTACAGCATGCCCATATGATCAAAATTCAGACATTTTGCAATTGAGTCATATTTATTACAGTTGCAGTGTCACTGGATAATGTGATCAGCTTTTACGACCTTCTGACAAACAAAATCAATGGGTAAATCAGATTCACTTAACAACAGTGTTACTAACTTAACAACTACAATAATTCACTTAAAAACTATGGCAAAATAGGTTATAAAATGGGGCAAAACTCACTTAATAAATGTCTCACTTAGCAACATAAATTTTGGGCTCATTTGTGGTCATAGGTTGAGGACTATCTGTATATACCTTGTAGGACAGCTTTGGTCAAGATCTTCATCAGTCATAAGCCACCATTTAATAAGACTCATAACACAACTTCTGGTAAGCATACTTCACACCCCATACTTAATCATCTTGAATTGGGATCTATAATATGTTGAACCCAGTACAGTTTTTATAAGATAATCTGACCCCAGAATGGACAGAGAGCAAAGAACACATGGAAACCAGGAAGGTGATATTGGGAGGGGCTGGTTGTTGCTTGGAGGAGATTGATCTACCTATGATTGTTGTCTCTAGCTCCAGCTCTGATTGTTCCCATAGTATAGGATTTTTTTTCTCTGAGGAAGTAAAACTTAAGAAAGGGGTCTCTTTATTGTCTTTTCACATACATTTTAAATTGAGAAATTAACATTTTTGTTTTTGTTTAAATAACATATTTTAATTTATATAGGATTGGTTAAGTTAGTTTCATTTAAAAAAATATATTTCAAACAATAGAGATAGAAATGTAGGGTTATTTTATAATGAAGCTGGTGTCTACTCTAAGCAATACAAGTTATCCTGATTTGAAACTTTCCTATCAGACATTAGCATCTAACGGACCTTTGAACAGCATTCATAGAGCTGAAAAATTTTGACTCTTCTGCAATTATCACACTCAATCACATTGTAGTTTCTTTCTTTGACCAAAATCCTTGGAGTTACAAATAAAAATGGATCAATGTTTAATCCACAGGAAGCCTTAGCCAAAACACCTCTATTAGAATGTCTATTGCAATCATTTTTTATTGAGAAGTAACTAAAGTGTAACTAAATTTACACTTAGGAAGGAAAACCAAAGGTACAGGAGAGACCTGGCTCAAAAACAGTAACTGTGAGAGGGACCTTGGAGTCCTAGTGGACTATCAGTTGAATATGAGCCTTAAATATGAACAGCTTGCCTTCAGAAGTGCTTCATCATTAGAGGTTTTTAAGAAGAGGCTGGACAGTCACTTGTCTGAAATGGTAGGGTCTCCTGCTCGAGCAGGGGGTTGGACTAGAAGACCTCCAAAGGTCCCTTCCAGCTCAATTCTGATTCTAAGATCTCGTGCTTCTGTGAAATGTCTTACTACATACAGTAGTAGAGTCAGATCAAGTAATAACATAAAGAATTACTTTACATGGCACACAAAAACTCAGTTGCCCCAGTACTTAAAATGTTTAGCACATCACAACATTAAAAAGGATGGTTAATGTGAGTAAAGAAGGAAAAAGGATGTTAATCTGGCAATGGGAAAGGTATTATTTAAACCAAGCAATCACTCACTTAGTGAAATATCACTAATTGTCTTTAGTCTCTTGGCAAGCTTGTTTTGTTGCTAATACTAGATGTGACTTATGGATTTTTCAAAATCCATACTGCTGCTTTAAGTTCTTCTTTGAACTATGGCTTTAATCAATAACAAATCCTCCACACCAATGAATCCTAGTATGATAAATCCTTAGAGAAAGGTGTGAACCGCTTCGTCTACTGCTTTCTGCAGCAATTCTCTTGACCACCATGTTATACACAGCCTGAAGCTGGAATTAATTCTTTTTCTTTTGAGGAAGTGTCATGTATCTTAACTCTCTCCTCAAAGCTATTTTTGGATAGAAAACTACATCTTGTCCAAAGTTTCAATTCTCTTTTTAGCTCTTTAGCAATTTAGCAATTGGGGAGAGGGGGAGAGAAATTTATGGAAATCCTCCCAAAGGCCAAAAATATTATTGGAAGGAGTGAATATTATATGGATAAAGTACTGGATCATTCATTCATTCATTCATTCATTCATTCACTCACTCACTCACTCACTCACTCACTCACTCACTCACTCACTCACTCACTCACTCAGGTGCCTTCCACTCAGTATTGAGAAATAACTGCAGTTTTTGTAGTAAGATTTCAAAAGTGGTTTGCCATTCCCAGAGAGCCCTGACTATGCAGTGATTAGAATGCAGTATTGTAGGAAAATTCTGCCCACTATCTGGAGTTCAATCCTGAAAGGGTTCAAGGTTGACTCAGCCTCCCATTCTTCTGAGGTCAGTAAAATGAAGACCCAGATTGTTGGGGGCAATATGCTGACATTGTAAATCAGCCAGAGAATGCTGTAAAGCATTATGTGGCAGTATATAAGTCTAAGTGCTATTGCTATTGCCTGCTTACTATGGCTGAGAATGAGTGACTGGCTCAAGGTCACCCAATTGGCTTCACGGTATTATTTTCAATTACAATATATACAAGGTGGCTCAATGTTTTAAACTCCTTCTCCCCCACCCCCACATTTTTAATACATTCAAAAGCAGGTTTCTCTTAACTTATATTTGGCAACATTACTTAGTTGTCATGCACATTCCAATTGGAGCCATGAAGGCTTTAAAGTGACCATCTAGAGTGGCAAACAGTCATTCTGAGGGCCAATGAACAGATGAACCTATGGGGGAATCCATATTTGGATCATTGCAAGTATTATTTTAAATTCTAGAACTCACTCACCTGAAAAGCAAATAATTTAATGTCCTCTTCCTCAAATTATTGGGGGTGAAAATGGGGAAAATAGCAGAAGAGTTTCTGAAGTACCATTTATTCAAACCACAGCTTTGAAACATGGGGCTGTTTATCCATAACTGTCATGCGGTCTGTTGAATTACTATTCTTGAGCTGGAAAGAGGGACATGTCAGCTTGAGCGGGGGGGGGGTGGCATTCTTGAGCACAGAGCATTGTGGTACCAGTTGGAGGCTGCCTGAGAAGAATATTGTAATGTTGCATATCCTGCTGCCTCTAATTCTAAAGAGATGACAGTAATAGAAATTGGAATTGCCTTGGAATATACTAATGTTTCATATCCTTCTGTCTCTAACTGATTCTAAAGAGATGACAGTGATGGAAATCTTTGCCAACATGGTTGTGAGGCTGCAGACTGTGGCTCACAGAGGGAGGTTGCAGGGAAATGTTATGAAGACACAGCCATGACACATCTTTCCTGGAGACAAGTGCTGTTCGCTGATGGGGAAAGCATGTGTGTGATCATGACAGATATTGTCAGGATGTGACACTGCATTAGGTAGAGCAGAAGCACTATCACTATGGGCTATCACTATGATCTACAGCTTCTATGCAATCCTCATATATTCTTGCAATTTAGACAACTGATCTTTCTGATTGTGCCCTGAGTCTCTTCATATCTGTGCTTTAGCATGGCATAACAATTATTAAAACTGGATTGAGCTGCGTGGTTGCAACCCTGCGCACGATTACCTGAGAATAAACCGCACCTAAGGCACTGTCTCTGCTTCCAAACACATGTTCAAAAGATCCACATATTATGCACCAATGCTTGCAAATAACTCCATGCAACTTACTATTGAGTCTTTTTGTCTCACCTGAGCTTATTTAAGGAGTAAATGATATTCATCTTAATAAATGATTTGAACTGTAACTATTATAGTTAGGCTTCGTCCACTGTAAAAGCATCAGGAAATACTCTTAATATAATATGACCTTTGCTGATACAGCTCAAATCTATTGTTTATGAGCTCAGTACCTCCCAGAATTGCCGAGAGAAGGAAATGGGTCCCGTATTTTTTAATCAGGCTCTCTGTGATCTGTTGAAGGCTGGGCCGGCGCCCCAGAAGACGAATGTTGCGGATGAATTCTGGAGCCAGAGGCAAAGGCAAACTGAAGAACTCTTTTCTTTCCAATGCCAAGTTATTGACTTTCCAGCGAGCAAATTCTCTGGAAGAAAATAGTAAGACAAGAACATAAGGAAAGCTAGAAATAAATAAAGCAGATCACACCCGGGAGGCTCTAGGAATTTGTGTTAATCAAAAAAGAAAGAGCAAGTTTCTAGCCTTCAGGAATAAGTAACGAGTGGTGGGGTAGAATCTGCTGAAAATAATTTCCTCAATCTTGGAGGGATCTCAGATTATTACTATTTTTTTTAACACAACTGTTTATAAGTAGACCTTAACTTGCTATATGACATGGTAGGAAGATAAAAATTGGAAACATATTTAATCTGCTGAATATTTTTCTAATGGAAATGTTCAGCAGACTGAATTCACTAGTGAACTGAGTGCTTGATTTCTATTCTCTTCATACAGGACGAATGAATCCAATGAAGTCAAACCTTTATTACAGTCAAAGACCAGCATAAGAAGGGTGGTGTACAGGAAATTAAAAAGCATAAAAGATACAACAGAATAAAGATTACACACAAAAAGCTAAAAAGTATAAAAACAAAACCCTAAAAATAATATAAAAGGAGTGGTTGGAGCAGTAAATGAGTATAAAGGAGCATGACAAACTAAATCTATTATAATACAGAGCATCCTAGGTGCTCATTAAAACTGGTCTGCAGCACAGATCATCCATCATCTGATGGAGTTTTAAGTGTTACTGTACAAAACCTGACAACATTGTATGTTATAGAATGGTTGGTATTGCATGAGAACAGCAGGGAGGTGCAAAAATGTCCTGTGCTCCTTGGGTATTTTATACAGTAATGATGAGATGGGGCTAATACAAATGTCTCTGTAATACAGGCACTGGAGAGGTACATGTTCTATTGTTTCTATGTGTCCAGAGTGACAGAGGTAGGGAATCTTGTTATATCAGCCTTCAATGACAGCTGAGAGAAAAATGTGACATCATGCCAGAGGAAAGCCCTCAAGTGGTTAGGACAGTTAGGTACTTCAAGATTAGTTAAGTATGCCATAGAGAGACAGAGTATCTCTTGGGTTCACTGTCAGTAAAGGTTGGAGACTTGGCCAGGTCCAGTTGGTGCTCTGTGTCTGCTATACACTGTTTAATGAGTGCTGTGGCCTGAACATATCATCTACTAACTACATAGAAGGCCTGGAGAGAACCCAGGGATAACATTTTAGTTGTCACTGTCTTTTTCCAGGTGAATTGAGAATCACCCTTCCTAGTGGAGCAAGGCCAAGGTGAATAAAGGGTAGTCTGAACCAATAGTTGAGTATTGTCACCTATACTCTAGCTTCTACTTTCATGAGGGCTGTTTTAGTCTCAGAGTGGCATTAGAGACACAGTTTGGGGTTTGAAGGGCTTTAAACTTTGAGATTTGGACTGAAAAAGTTCTAATGGTGAAGAATTGGAGAAGGGGCTCAGCTGGCATCATAAAGAAATTGTGTTATTAGCTTGGCTTCAAATAATTTGAATGCTGCTAGTATATAGTGGTCATCTCTTATCTTAAAGAATTTAAGGATTGCAAATGAGCTCATCTGTGTATTTTCAGTGATGTCGTTTTCATGGGGTTCCCTACTGTTGGCAGAATATAGGACCATTTCCCAGATATTTGAAATAGTACACCTGCTCAATCTCGTGGCCATATATCCTCCACTAATTTTTGGACCTCTTGGAAAGTACTTTTGGCAAATCCTGGTTTTCTTATACTTGAGTTCTTGCCTAGAATAAAACAGAAATGTATCTTCCAGCTAGTTTGGCAGAGTGAAACGTCAAGTTGAGGAAATGGTTCAACATATAGAAATAGAATAGGAATGGGGCCAATATGCCTTTCTCAGTTCTGATAGCCTTAATGAGGTGGCCATATTGGAGTAGTCTGATGTCATGGTGGGAGAGGAAATCAATAAAACAAGGATCTCTGGTGGATATAAACCACCCAGCCACATTCCAGGTTAAAAGGATGACATTATGCTGGTGAATAAATGCTGCTTAAATGTCAAGCAGAGGTAATGTGCACTTGGGACTGGGTGGGTGATTTTTGCAAGAGAAGAAGGTTACGGTAATATTAGTTGACACTTGAGGCTACTGTAGTTGTGTCTCCCTATGAGGGGGATGAGGAGTGGCACCACTGGCTTCACATTCTTCTCTTCCAAATGTATGTCCACCTGGAGAACCTGTGCAACATGAGCAGTGAAATGTGGATCACTGGCAAGCAGGGATCCCAAGCGTTCTTTGCGAGTTATCCAGTGTTAAGTGGAGATGAAGGGAACTGTTTCTTCTAAGAGTCAGGTTCCTATGGGCCAGGGGAGGCACTTTAGTTTTGGAGGCAGATGAGGTTAAATCTCCAGATTGGGTTTCTGTATTGTTTGGCTGAGCTTTGTTACATTTACAAGCTGTTTCCTTTGGGTAACAGCTGCTTGGGATTGCATAGGTTTCTTGAGTATTGCTGGTGTAAAACTTCCAGAGGAGTCACTGTCAGTGTCACTTTGACTGTTATTGATGAGGGAATCAGTGTAATGTGCTGACAGCTTTCTATGTGTTTTGGTCATAGGAGAGGCAATAACATGAGATAGTTTAGAGGTTGAGCAACTCAAAGGGGCAGATGAATTAAATTGTGCTGGACTTCCATATCACTACCAGCACTGGGAGGGCAGATCAAGATTGTTTTGATGTCAGCAAGTTTTTTTTCCCCTCAGATTAATGAGTTCTGAGTTTATAGCTTCCTCCTTTGATGTTTGCTTAACCTCTTTGCTGCTGCCAAGTCTGGCAGATTTATTGCTTTTGGAAGTGTGTGTTTTTATGGATCTTATCTGCAAGTTCATGACCTTTTGTCACTTCCCTAGTGATGAGGTTGCCAACTAAGTCTCCTTAAAGACTCTGACAGTTTCGAAGTGATACGTCTGCCCTGGGAATTTGCTCATTTGAATAAATCTGGAAGGGAGAAAAGGCTGAGAAAAAAACTTTAAAAGATGCATTCAGTGTTTCTTAAACTGGGCAGATTGTGAAAAATCAAGTGAAAGATAACTGTTCTGCTTTGGCAGTTTAAGATCTAAGATTGGGAGATCACAATAAGCTTGAGGTTGTTCTATCTGTGGGCATTCCTATGGATTTCTAGGAGTCGCTTTTTCTGTAGCACATGGCATGGTTGGCTAAATTAACTATTTTTGCATGCCTGGAGGAATAGACTGCCAGAATGCTGACTGTGGCCAGCTTCTGCTGCGATATTAATTCCCAGGTTTCTATGGGGAATTTGCAGTCAAGGCCTTGTTGGTAGCCACTCACCTTGGCTGCAATTTCATTTAGCTGTTGCAATATAAGGGTCAAACTTTCTGCAGACAGAAGGCAGACTTCATGGGAAGTGTTGTGTCCTGAGCCTGCAGAAGCAGGCTCGGGACGATGCAAGAGTCCCGGGCAATTACAAAAGCTGCCCGGGACCAGACTGAGCGGCGCCGGCCTTGCGCGCATGCGCAAGGCGGGAAAAGACTGCCTGCTATTGGTTGGAATTGCCCGGGGATCCGGGGGTATAAATAGAGGCCTGCGTGCCTCTGCTCTTGTTGGCTGTTAGCTGTAAGAGAGAGAGAATAAAGCTCTGTTAGCAACATGCATTGCCTCCTTCGCCATTATTCTCCGGACTTAACACTGGCGACGAGGATGGGATTTAGTCTAGATAGCTAGGGAAGCTTGAAGACTCACCCAAACGAAGTCCGGAAGAGGGACGACGGCGTTGAAGTCAGCATCTATCCTGCCAGTACAGCATCGCTGGAGGGTGAGTGCGGCTGAAGAAAACCCTGTCCCTTGATCATGGCGAAAATCGGTCGATTATCTGAATTTGATGTCTCTCACCCGGAGAAGTGGGAATCTTATGTTGCAAGGGTGGAGACTTACTTTCGCGTGAATCAGATAAGGGAAGATGGCCTAAAGGCTGCCACAATGTTGTGTGTTTGTGGGCAAGACGCCTTTGAGATCACCGAGAATCTAGTCACCCCGGCCTCACTAGAAATTGTTTCATATTCTGATCTGAAGAAATTTTTGAAAGAACACTTCCAGCCCAAGCAATCTGTCATTGCTTGTAGGCACACATTTGAACTGAGGGATCAGTGAGCTGGGGAATCAGCAAAAGAATTCATTGCAGCCTTAAGAAGAGCGGCTAAACCATGTGAGTTCAAGGATCTTGAAGAAAGGCTGCGCGATCGTTTTGTGTGCGGACTGAGGAATAGAGACTTACAGCAGAAACTGTTTGCTAAGGAAGATGTCTCTTTCCAAGATGCTCTGCGAGAGTTTACGGCAGAGGAAGCTGCAGGCGGAGCGGTAAAGAATCTGCGGCCTACTCGAAGCGCTCCAGAGACTGCAGCCATCCACAAGGAGGACGTGCAGGAGGACTCGGAAGAGGATCCTGAAGATGAAGTGGACAAGCTTTATCAAGCAGCCGGAAGGAGGCCCAAAGGTCGTCCGGACAAAGGCCCAGCTGAGCTTCGATGCTTCGGATGCGGAGGTCGCCACAAGCGAGCGGAATGTCGAGCGTGCGGAAAGAAAGGCCACATCGCTGCGGTTTGCCTGGGTCGACAGAAGGTACAACCGAAGGAAGAATTGAATCTGAAAGGTACCAGGGTACCCAGCCAAAACAGGGTGGGGTTCTGTGCAACACGCAGGAACATTTTAAGAATAGGCACACACAAACCCCTTAAAAAGAAATTATCCCTTAAAGTGAGATTGCAAGGAGTTCCATTGTCGATGGAACTAGACACGGGGTCTGCCCTATCCATAATTTCCCTTAACACATTTCACAAAATCTGCAGCAGCAGTGGCCAGCGAGCTTCGCTAAGGCCTTCTAATGTAATCCTTACTGACTTTCAAAATTCCAAGGTGTGCGTTAAGGGGGAGGCCACCCTTAAGGTACAGTATACGAATTTTGAAGGCCCCTTAGACGTGCTGGTTGTGGGGGGTGAGCGCACGAGTCTAATTGGACTCGATTGGTTTGAGGCCTTAGGAATCCAGGTAACAGGGCTGCACAAGTTGCAAACGGAGACCCT